CCCTCCCCGCCCCTCGCCGAGTTCAGCGGCAAGTTTGTGCAGAAATGGCACCGGCAAAACAACCCGTGGCTTTGGGATGGGGGTGGTGGTGTTCCCCTCCCCCCCAGCCCTCCCGGTGGCGAGCAGAAGTGCAAGAAGAGTTACCGAAAAGCGGCACCGCGCCACGGGGTTTGTAACCTCCAAAGCTCCAGTTAGCTGCAATGGAAGGATTTTATTTTATTTTTTTAAACAACAGCTCCTAGCAGAGACCATTATTGTAGGAATGTTGTAGGTCCTTCCCTTGCCGGAGCAACTTTCATCCCTTCACCTGCTTGACAAATGTTCATTAATTCCCTTTCCAACAGGTAAGTGCAGCATGAACCCATTTGACAGATGGGTTCATGGAAACAAAGAGCAGTGAAGTGACTTCTCCCAGACCACAAATCTCAGCGAGCAGGACATTTATTCACTGTGTCGGGCAGATGGTCGTGCTGAATTATGAAAGAAGTTATCTGGAGTTTAGTTATGCATCTGTCCAGGGATACAAGAGACCTTCAGCCGCAGTCCCGGCCATGGCAGTGGAGCATCTCTGGGTATGGATTCTCCCGGTCCACAGTGGGTCTAGCCCTGCACACCCATCTTCCCAGCACCTAGGAGTTGTCAAACCCCAGCGCTCATTCCCTTCCAGAGATGCCTGTGCCCAGAAAGGGCCATGCCTGCTGGACTCTTATGCAGGGACACGTATGCATTCAGTGCAGGACTAGGCTAAAGCTGTGATTGGTTACTAACGATACCGTAAACTGCAAAGGAAGGTCATTATTTTTCTTAGACGTATATTGTTTCTTTATACGCCGCTCAATAATTGAGCAAACTCTTTCAAGACATAATCTAGTCAACTTTAAAAAAAAATCTTAAGCAGTTTCAGACCCTATTCCCATGCTTCTAACACTGGCCAATTTTTGTGAGTTTGCAGCCACATTTTCCCTTTTTCTTTGGCGAATATTTTCATTCCAGGGTTGCTGTGGGAAGGACTGCCCACCCACAGCCGCCAGTAGTAAAACTGAGCAGAAAGGCCAACTCCTGTCAAATGCAGAATGTAAACAGTGGAAAACTAGAAGCGGTGTTTTCTTCTGTCTTTTTTTGGTGTTATTACTTGAGGCACTTTTTGCAGTAATAATACTTTTAAGACAGGCAGATAGGTGTCATTCTTAATTCTTTTCCTGTTGATGGTGTCTCTTTAATGCGATTAAGAGCCACTAATGAGCTGATTCACCAGGATCGTGTTTTCTGCTCTTAGTGCACTGTAGTACTTTATTTCTGCTCCCAGCTTGGCTATCTTGTTTTTTTTGCAGTAATTTTCTTTTTTTATGTTCCAGAAGATAAGTTTCCTTTCTACGTGCAATTACAGGCTGAAGTTTATTTTAAGGAGACTTAATACAAGCCAGGGGACTGATTCTCATTTGCACTTGAGCCTTGTTGCATGGCTCCAGTAACACAATGGAGTGTGAAAGTGAGTAAATATAAACAGAATTCACAGTGGCACAATTTACAGCAAAAATGCACCCCGTGACTCTTATAAAGGAGCCTCACATTTAATAAGCATCTGGTGCCTGGTATTCTTGTTCTCTTTCTTTATGTCTTCATTTCATAATAATGCGGCTTAAAAAGCTATGTAGGAGGTGCCAGAGAAGGCCATGATAACCCACTTGTAAGGAGGAAATGATGAGCATGATGAACTTAAAAGGGAGGAGGAGAAAAAACATGGAAAGGTTGCCAAGATGCAATCCGGGGGAGAATAACTCTGAATTTTGTATAAAATCAGAGATTCCAGATCACAGCAATCATACATTTTTAATTTCCTGTAAAGGTATCTTTCGGCTAGGTTTTTAACATGCTAGGGATGCAGAAGACCCATCTAGATGCCTATTGGCATTTTCAGTACCACCTGGCCACTAAAACTCCCTGAATCAGCATTTTAGATAGCTGAACTATGTATAATTTAGCTCCTGAGGCTCGTGGTGTTCTCAGAAAATTAATCTGACTTCTATAGCCACAACCAATGAGGGTGAGGGTTGCGGTGCTATTCCTTATAGTCCGTCATTTGTTTTGTCACTGTGTTATTGCTGGTATTCAAAGTAACTGATAAAGCAAATAAAAATATGATCCCACCTTGATGCAAGATTTCCTGTAAAATATCTTAGAACAGAGTCAGTGAGTCTGAATATTTTCTGGAAGTCGAATTATCCCCACAAAGACAAAGTTTTGCTGCCACGTTCAGCGCAAGTGACTCTGTCATCCAGCAACACTGAATGATGTAAAGGCGTGAGGAAAGCAAACCCCTCCAGATGCAACCCTGTGAATTGCCTCAGCTATGTGCTGTGTGTAGATGCTGGACTCAATAATTCAACCATGATCGTAGGTCAGCTGAGGTGGAAATCAGTGGCTGTGTGCTTTTGTAGCGACACAAAGCAACCCTGAGCAAAACTGGGCAAGCTTGGAAAACACATACTCAGATGGTGAGGTTAATATTTTCTTTAATTGCGCAGCCACGGCCAAGCACTGTGGTCCACTGGTTTGCCAGCAGCCCACTTCTCCCACTGCAAAGAGGTTGTCAGGCATCAGGGTTTTTCCAGGAAAAGCATCTCCGTATGTGCAGCCTCACTGACTGCTCTAACTTTCTAAGCAAGAGCTGAATCCTCAAATTACATTTGTTTTTATTTTGAGAGGCCAAAATTCCTTTCGCAGGTTCCTCTGGAGATACGTGAGTCAGTGGTGAGACTCGGTTCCAGCACTGCCTCAGTGCAGAGCTGAACATTCACAGAGAACTGCAGATGCAGCTGAATATACAGGTGTTATAACCCTGGTCTTTGTTACAGTTAAGGATTTTTCTTGGGGGGGAGGGTGAAATCAAGCCATTTCCAAAAGAGATGCATGCACTAAGGAGAGATTAATGTAGCGTGTTTGTTGCTACAGCCAAAGTTTTCAATCTTCTGCAGACATGGAAATTGTTGGAAGCCTTACTTGCTTATTGCCTTACGATGCTATGCAAAGAAGTCTCTTCAAAGGCTCAGTGCTCAAGTTACTGACTTAGATTTTCCCCTCATGCTAGATCATCTTATTCTGTGCTACTGCTAACAAATTCACACTAGAGTCTAAAATGTGGTACAGCTTGAAAAGAGACTGTAAAAACATGACAGGACAACATGGGGTTAACTTTCCCTGGGGAACGAACTAGCTATTATTTATAGGGCCTGATTTTCATTTATGTGGAAGCTCCTGTGTATAGCTCTGGTAGTCAAAAGAAGCCACAATTTAAACAAGAATGAGGATGTTAGCAGTCATAATCGTTTTATGCATATAAACAATTACAACTAGTTTAGCGCGAGCCATGAACTGCCAAGCTGCAACATCCAGCTCTTAAGTTTGACGCAAAGATTATAAGTAACCAAATGGTTATTGCTAACCCCAAGTATTAAGAAATCGTGGGCCAGACCTCCAAAATCTTGAGGCTGTTCTTAAAATGTTGTGATTTGAAAGTGTTCATTTGATATTTTAAAGAGGGTTCATTTGAGTTCACTTCATGTACCTTCTGCCTTTTTAGGCCATAGAAGTCACAAAGTGTGGACTTTTTTTTTTTTTTTTTTTTGTAAACAGAAGCTGAGATTTGGTTGTATATTTATAGGACTACAAGGCCCATGACTCTAAGATGGCATGAAGTATCATGAGACTTGTGGTATGTGCCTTTGAGAGTTGGCAAGACTGTAAAGAACTTATTTTTATTGCCAGGCTGGTTAAGAGATGACTCTGGTTATATGGAAAGAGCAGAACCTACTCAGTAAGGCAGGGCTCTTTGCATAACAAAACATTTCACTATGTTTATGCTTGTAAAATGCAACAAGCAGCAAAGAAAATGTAGGTCAAGTGAGGTTCAGAGCAAGGCAGTTACAGTTTTCATCTTAAAGATGCAGCTTAGGTGATGTTAAGTAGTGTTTTCGTTCGGTAAGTGTAAAACTGCATCCCTGGCAGGTATTCACCACTGAACAGCAAGGCGACATGCAAGCCTTATGTTAGGGATTGAAACATCTGTCGTTCTGACTGATTGAAACATCTGTCGTTCGTACTCTTGCCCTGAATGTTAGTTAAGCTTCAGAGAGACCCTCCTCTTTCCTTGTTTAAGCATAACCTACTGTTTATAGCACAGTAAAAAGCTGCATGGCACTTTGGGGAAAAGAGCTGCTCTGCAAAAATAGAGGTATAAAAATCTCAAACCAATTTTGCAGCATTACGCTTCTCTGTGAAGCAGACTGCCTAAGACAGTCCCATGCACAAAGTCTTCAAAAAGAAGGTCTTTTAAAAGTATGCATTAGTTTGTGCTGCTTGCTGCCCTTGTGTGCAAGAAGCATTGTTGCCTGAGTGCTTCCACCATCGCTCACCAGCGCTGTTTCAAACAAGCCCATAGCAGCAGAATAAGCATCAATTTTGAGAGAGGCTTCACAGAGCCAGGCTGGAAACCGGCATCTCCGAAGCAAGAGCAAGTCGAGAGGAATATCCCAAATGGGTTTAAATGTGCCTGCCTGGGAAGAGAAGATTCGGGTCTAGGAGGAGTAAACCTCAAAACAGGGAGGGAGGCATGAAGTGTCGGGATGTTGTGAGTGCCCAAATGTCTCTCCTTGGCTCTGTGTTTAACCTGTGGGTATATTTTGCATCTTTTCTTCTGCGTCGTCAAGAGAATTACACATCGAGTTCCATCTCCAGGGTCACGGTCACGTCACACTTGCACTAACGCCAGGAAGACGAAGAGATGCTTTAGCTCTTCCTGAGGGCTTCATTGCAGCGGATGATGCAGAAGAAGAGAAAACCCAACGTGGCTTCCAGATCTGAGCAGGGCTGATGTCAAACGAAAACACCTTTACTCATAAAACGCGCATGCGCAAGGTGTGCGTACCTTTCATTGCTGGTGCAGTCATAAGGCGTTTTCTCTTCTGGATGGATTTCCCTGCTTTCTGATGCATCGTGTTAATAAAATCAAGGTTCCTCCTCAGAAGCGTGGCTTCTGAAACAGCCTGTAGCGCCCATCCCCAGTGCGGGTCTGAACTGCAGGAGGCCCGGTGTACTTTGGCAGATGTTTACAACATGTCACCTTATAAAATCACGTGGAAAGGCTGGTCTGAATTCCTGTTAATGCCTTTTCTTTCTTGTGTTGCTGTTGGCTTTCAGCACGTGTGGAGCGAAAGTGAGGACTGCTTGCCTTTTCTGCAGCTCGCACAGGATTACATCTCCTCCTGTGGGAAAAAGACACTCCATGAAATATTGGAAAAAGTCTTCAAATCCTTCAGACCCGTAAGTGCCTCTTTTTTACTTCTAAGCATTGACAGTTACCTGTGACTTTTAATAGGATAGCACTGGATGGAGCAAAGTGGTTTTTCTTCTGCAGCGACTTACATCTCCAGTCAGCTGCCTGGGTGCAGGGGTGTTAGCACGTAAGCTACTGTCAGGAAATTGGAAATTGTTTCTTGGAAGCCAGCTGCCTTTTTATTTCCATCTCTGCGTTTGAGAGGATGAGATTCCCACGCGGGGTGGGAGGCCAACTGGTGTGGCAGCCGGTGGCACCAGCTCCCCAGCTGTGCAGGGGCTCCCATCCTGCTGATGCGGTGCTGACTCCGAGGAACGGGATGCGAGTCAGCGCTGCGGGACTTTGTGGCAGTTATTTCCTGGCACTGGAATTGGGGAATTCTGCAAGTATGTGAGTAGCGAGAGTAAACCTCTGAGAAGCTGTAAATACAGTTTCTCCTCAGAGTGGCTTGTTTTATTTTAGGGTGGTTTTTTTTTTTTTTCCTCCAAGTGGTCCAGATTTTGCTGTTTGGATGGTTGCCACTTGATATTTGTGAACGCCAGTTTGGTCACTGCTTGAGAAGAGGTTGGAGCAGAAGCTGGGTTTTAGGGGGAGGGGGTGTGTCTTTTTCTGGTTTGCTGCTACTCAGCTTTCTCTGTCCTTGTGTAACACTAAGATTTTGGTCAAAGCCTGGGTTGCATGAGGGTGAGGTGACAGGCTGGTTGTTGTCCTTCATTTTTGCCAAATCCTCCCGTTGCACAGCCTCTCCTTTTGAGAGCCTTGGGCTGGGTAAGGGGCTGGTGCAAAGCAGAGCAGAGGTTGCCAGAGCCATGCTCCCATGATGTCCATGGGAAAGCTGACTGATGGACGTTTTTAAACTCAACTGAAAATGTAGATGTTTTTCCCTCCTCTCTTTTTCTGGCTGACTAATCGAGAAGACTGAAAATGTATCCCAAGTATGTAGAGCAAAAGGGAGGGCCTGGAGTGACGATATGAAAACACCGGCCCTCCCTGTGTTACGCCCTTGCATTGCCTTGCCGTGGACCGCCGCAGCTGGTCGACATAAAAGAGCATCGTTTTAAAGAATCCTTTGAGAGACTGGAAATAAATAGAACAGATGCACACTTTTCTTAGAAAGGACTGGAAATCTGATCCATCAGTACAGCTGCTTGTAATTGTGAAAACATAGAAAAATATAAATATGTTTCCTAGAACAGCATTCGGCTCTTGGATCTTCATAGCTGTTTTCTCCTGCTCAGAAAAGCTGTGTCTTTGAGGAGAAGCTTCCATTGGTTTAACTAAAGAGGACTTCACAAAGACTTAATTAAACTGGTACAGATCACTTATTTTATTTAAACCACATTTATTTCAGCATAGGTTAAGTTGTTGAGAAATTGGCATCAGTCAAACCAAGTTAAGCTACTCTTCAGAATAAAAAGGTTCAAAGTGAGGGGAACCATTATGCTCATTTAGTCGGGGCCCTTCGTTAATACATCACATTTCACCCCATGATTCTTACCACTGAGCACATAAATTGTGGTTGAGCTGGAGCGTATCTTTTCTGAAGACACCCAGTCTTGATGTAAAGTCTGCAGGTGACTTAAAGGATACAACACTACTAGGCTCTTTTTCTCATCATTAGTTATGCTCCTTTGAAAAGCTTTTATTTACAGTCTGCATTTTTCTAGTTTTGCCTCCTAACTGTTGTATTTCATTATGCTTTTGTCTACTCAAGAATGGTGTCCTCAATTGTCAGAGACCTCTTGCAGACTGTAGTCAAGTACCTCTTCATTTTCTCTTGGATGTACCATGAAGATTAAGTTTCTCAGATTCTCCTTTGACCTAGTATTGAGTGATTTGCATCAGTGTAACAAAACCAGTTTTGTCATTCAAGGTATGGTTGTGTGTAGACAAGTCTAATAAGGAATGTATTGACATTTTCCCCTTATTGTAATTATTAAAAATAGGACATGCATGGTAGGATAGATTTTAAAAAGTGAAGGGTGTTACAAGAGATGTATGGAAACAGTTATTTTACACCCTTAGGCCTTTGCCAAAACAAAACCACTTTTCTTCAGTATGGGGAAATTATTTCCATGGCATTACTTTGCGCTCTTCCCCATCCTTCCTCTGCTGGACCTGTGTTGCTGCTGAAACCACCTTGCTGTGAGCGTGGAGGTAACAGTGCATTTCCAAGACATTTCTTCTCCACTTTTCCAACCAAATCTGCTGTCAGAGACAGGTCTGGCAAATTTCAGTGTGAAAACTGGCAGTTTAGGGAAAACTGGTGTTGAAGGTCAGACCGGGCTCTTCTGAGGTGTCTGATGGTCTTGGCTACTCAGTCTGAGACACTGAGGAGGGGCCAGGGTTTTAGCATGTGCTTGGTAAGTACCTTCTGAAAGTCTTTTCCATTTCGATATTTCCAGCCACACATCCGAGATCATGAGACCGTTTTGAAAGTCTTTGTCGGGGTCCTTCAAAGGGAAATGTTGAGGAGGAGATGGTGCATCTGCAGCTCTCCATGCCCGCATGCACTGCACGAGCACCTGCCCTCCCTTAACCAAAGGCTCCCAGACTGATTTTTGCCCAGTAACTCATCTCAGCCCTGCTCTGCACATTCATGACAACAGCCCAGCTGTGTCTCTGCAGGCTTACCCTGGGGTTGCGGCGTGGGAAGGGACTGGCTGCTCACGCTGCTGGGCCCCGTGTTTCAGAGGTGGTAAGTGTGGGGATGCCCAGCAGTTATCATCCCTCTCAAGAGAGAGAGAGAGATTTCCCTCTGCTCACCACTCTTCCCTGCGTGCAGGAGGCAATGAGGGCTGTCTGGGGGCTGCTCACCAGCCCTCGCTGCTCTCAGGCATCTCTCCCTTGTGTTTTATGGACATAAACACAGTGCCAGGGCAGGATGTTTATTTAGATGAGGCTTTTAAAAAGTGTTAGTTAACCTGCAACAGCTAAACTGCACCTCTAAACTCTGCTGAAGTCAAGGTCAAGCTATTTCTTTACTGAAGGTGGGGGGGGGCATGTTGTCTCTGCCCATTACTGCCTTCCTGGGTCGATTTCCACAAAACTCTGTGATTTGCCTTAATATCCACTTAATTCAGGGAGCGTCCAAAAGTGCCAGACACCATGCAGGTACATGAAGCGGTACCGATAGCACTGGGCTCAAATACCACTATTTCCCTCCGATTATCCCAGCTCCTCCGATGCCCTTGTCTCTCTGGTGCCACAAGTGTCCATGCTGGTGCTTGTAAGCACATCTGCCTGGAGACTAAGCCCCTCACACCGGGATTCGACAGAACCACGTTATCTCTAGTGTAGCATTGTATGGACCGCTAAAACGCGGTCTATGTACTTGGTTTATTTTTCAGTGTGCTTGTATGTCAGCTTTTGGTAGGAGGCAATGTCACTCTGCTTTTGTGACTTAAAAACTAGTAGGTTATTTGTATAAAATCAGGGCACTTTGAAAGAGTTAAGAAAGAAAGACAAATAAAAAATGCCTGAGGGACATCACACCAACTGGCAGAGTTTGCAGAGAACCAAAACATGAATAGTACAATTTAGCAGCAAATTCCAGGGCTCCCGCATTGAGCTCACCTTCAGCCTAAAAAGCCTACATCTGAACTGGGGAGTCTGCAGTGTAAAAGCCATTTATCCCACATTCATTGAATTCCTACACGTCCCAGTGACCTCTCCTTTACCTCCAGATGGGTAGTTTGGCCAGCAGCAATAAATGGTGTAGTTCAGGTGGTGCTGCTGCTGGTTGTTCTCCTCCCACCCTCCTCACCACCCTCCTGCCCTCTTTCTCCCCACTCATCCCCACCTGGCAGTTTTGTTCCCCTTGGCTGTTTGGCTGATGGATCAGCTCTCTTTTTTCTACACCCTTTCCTGTTTTACCTCTTTCCTCCTTGTTTTTGTTCTCCATTAAAGTCCTTTCAAGTCTGCCGCATAGCTGATACTTTAGTATATGAATTAGATATGGACTAGAAGCAGAAACTAGTGTGTTTGAAAGGAGACGAGGTGGGAGTCAGTCGAGGGTCAACTCAGGCCACCTTCATCGTCTTATTTTGTCTTCATCTTTTACACACCCTCCTTGTGCTTTGACCCAATGTTTGTAGAGCTCCCTGCACTTTGGACTCTGATCCTCCCTCCTTGGGGTCAAGGTGTGGGCTGATTTGTCACTGCAGTCCAGAGAGCAGTAAGGGGTTAACAGCAGTGACGGACTGTAGTCCTGTGGAAAGTGAGGAGATGCGACCCCTAAAAGCAGGACCTGCATGGTCAAGGTCCTCGATGCCTTGGAGGATCCTAAAATGTCCATGAGAGAACAAAACTGCGCCTCTCTTGGAGGAACGTCCCGTCCCATCATCCCATCCCATCCCATCCCATCCCATCCCATCCCATCCCATCCCCGTCCTTCCTGTGCTCTGTAAAACCGCTAACGTTAGTGGCGTCACTCTCTGATTTACACTGCATGAGGGAGAGAAGAGCTGGGTTTCCTGAGGGCAAAGGGAGAGGGGATGTGTGAAGAGCAGGACGTGCTCCCCGTCCTTCGGGATTGTGTGCGTCTTTGCGGTTCTCGTGGTGTATGTTGTGTTTTCCGTGCTAATTTTGCACGAGAAGGGCTTACAGTATCCCATGAAATGAAGACTCATGTGGCTCATTTCCCTGCAAATCAAGGAGGAATTCTAACCAGAGCTGGGCAAAAAAAAAGCGATCAAAGCTCTTTCTGCTGGGTGATATAAATGGAGCAATACAACACTCACATTTAATTTGAATACACTGAATCAGTTTAGCAAAAATAATACTGGTGGGTAAGAAAGTCTGTAGACCTTGCTTTTGCATTTTAAAAACTGAGTATTTTAATTTTGGCTTCAACGTGAAACAAAACCCCCGCATCCTGAAAATGAACCCAGTAGTTTCACGTTCAGTTAAGCATTTGATTTGAAAAATATGTATGCATACAAATATTTACTTTTTGTTCTGCTCAGAAAACAAGAACATTTTCAGCTTGGGGTCTCTCTGTAAGTATTTTTAAAATGCGAAGGAGGGGGGTAGTCAGCAAATTCTCCTTCCATTTCCCTGCCGAAGAAACGCTGCAACTAAAAAGCTGTTTTTCTCCCAGTGGCAGTGAGGAATACAAGCTTTATTGGACCCAGAGGCTAATTCTGTGCATTGTCTTTGTACCCACCGAATAATTTTGAGTGTTGATCACAGACTAAATTAGTTTAGGTCACTAAAAATCTGCCTCGTCACAGCCTTCTCATTTTCATGCTACCACGTAGCGAGTGTCACTCTCCTCCTGATTTTTTTTCTGGGTTTTGCCTCTTTTGAGAGCTAACAGCTGCGTCACTCTCCAAACAGAGTGTTGCATGCATCTGTGCTGCTCTTCCAGCCCTGGCAAGCTAAATACATGGTATTCTGAATAATGCCTGGCGTGTGATTTTGCTTTGTGGATATTAATAGCTGCTAGTGTAGGATCTAATATGAGATTTCCACAATAGATGCATTATTTTGACTGTTATTTGGTTTATCTGTCTTCCTGACTTCTGTTGGCTTGGCAACCTTTTGGAGGAGAGGGGAAAAGTTCAAACGTCACTGTTTGCTCCTTTTCCTGTAGCGAACAAGTGCCTTTGCGGTGATGGGAGCCATCAGGTGGAGGCATGCAGGCATTGTACAAGGAAGATGGGCTGGCCATTCTTCACAAGCCCAAGTCTAATTTGCAGAAACTTAACAGGAGTCAGACAATTTTGAGTTGAATACACAGTATTTCTCACTGCGAGGGCTTCACCCAGTGTGCAAGGCTTCATCTGGTGTGATGGAATGAAGGGTAAAAGAGAAGCACTTAACATGGTGGGATCTTTAGGTTTTTAGGGGAACTCCTTGCCTACCCCATACTAGCCAGTTCTGCATGGGGATGCTTGCTTCTTTGGCTTTTGTAGGGTTGCTGAACACAATCTTAAACCAAGGTAACTACTGCTACAGTATGGTCACAGTTCTTTCTGAAGTTAAACCACTGCCAAGTCTAAACACTCAATTTGTGATACGACCTCAGGGAAGAACGTGAAGCTTTTTGCAAGTGCTTTGCTTTGGTTTTATTTATCTTCCGGTCTCTGAGCACTTAATTTGGTGTGAGGATGCATTTTCAAATCTTTATCACAGGAGGGAGAGAAAGAGTCAAGATCGTTATGCGGTACTATTATTCCAGGGTTTGAGGTTTTCAAGAAGTGGCACCTAGGTATTGTGTGAAGATTTGCAGTGAACTTGCACGAGCGGGTAATTCACTATTACACAGTATTTTCTCTTCTTTGTAGTTACTTGGGCTTCCAGATGTCGATGATGATGCATTTGAAGAATATAATGCAGATGTGGAAGAAGAGGAACCAGAAGCCGATCACCAACAGATGGGTGTCAGTCAGCAGTGATTTTCTGAGAAGCTAAAATATTCGGAAGCCTTTGGTACCAGGTGGGGTCAGGTGGTCCCACGTTAGTCTGTTCGAATTAGCGCATCACATGGGGATATCTGGCTCCCAGGATAAAAGTTTTACAAAAAGGTTTAAAAAAAAAATATTTAATAATAATAATCTGTGATGAGCTTTGCTAAGAAGTGACCTGAATTTTGCTCCTGCTTCAGTGGGTTTTCTATGGAGTTGTCTTGGTAGCATTCTGCCGTTATCAGTCTAGAAGTAGTTTTGTCGCTGACTTGTCTCTTCGATTTGTGTTTGAGAGTAGCATTCATTGACATGAATGTAGAGTACCATGAATGTAGGAAGCGTGTGGTGAGAGTGCCAAGTCCTCACCGGTGACCTTTCCGAGGAAACCAGCGCAGAGAGCAAATGTGACCTGCGCTTTTTGTTTTAGTTCAACAGCTATGGTTTTTGACAAAGTACCAAACTTGGAGAGATTTCTCCTGAAAAACACTAGTTTAATAGTGGTCGGTACTGCAGAAGTGCCCATGAAGGCTTAACGAAAATAATGGCAAGCAGGAAATCCAGGGGAGTGTTGGTGTCAGGCATGTTAATGTAGTTTTACTGACACCTGAGTTTACAAGTGCTGGATTAATAACTGGGAGTAATTAGTATCACGTTATAACCAACCCTGGTACTCTGACACCATTTGATCCAAAGCCAAATGCTGCTTTCGTACAAATCAATTGAAAAATAGCCATCGCCTATCCCACTTCTGCATGACAACCAACTTTAAGCTTTGCTGTTTTTAATACACTGATAAATTATTACTCAAACCTCGCGGCATTGTGAATTGAAGTGCAACTTAACTTTGAAGCCATAAGGGTATAAACCAGCACCACCTGGCTCTTAATATTATGCTGGACCTGTTCCTCTCCCTGGGCCTTTGAGCTAGTCTGGGCATTTACAACTTGTTGGAAGGGAGCTAAAATACTACTACTTTGGCTGATATAAAAACTAGTGAGCTTTTACTTACCTGGGGACTTACTCCCCAGAGGGGTTTGGCGGGGTCTTTGTATAAAGGAGAAGATGACCCCTCGTATTTTCTACCTATTTTGCACAGATTTAAGTGACTCGGGTGAGTGCCAGACTGTGAAGGTGCAGGGTCTCTTTATTTACTTACCTTTTGTACTGAAAATGTAAGAAGCAAAGGGGATTCTGTTGTAATACAGCTGTTTTCCACAATCAAGCAAAATGTTTCTAAATTTACTCCTTTTTTCCAATTTTTTAAAAATCATGAAATGAAGGTCACATGCTTCAAAAGCCCTTTTATACAGAATTAGCTTTATAAAAACAAGTGAGTGAAGAGAAAATGCTTGGACAACTCCTAGAAACAACTCGCACCATTTTGAAAACCCTGTTGTTAGCAATGTCTCCTTTTCAGTAGATTTTTTTAAAGACTTTTTTTTCAAGGTTACTTAAGAGAGCAAGTTTTCTTGGTGGTTTACATTTCTGATGATGGCTTGAGAGATGCATAGCACTTGATTTTTCCAATCTGGGGCAAAGACCTTCCATAACTGGGATGGTGTGTGGTACCTGAGTATGCACAGAAGTGTCTGCAACACTGTAAAAGTCAGAGTTTAAGAATATAAAAAAAAAGTGGAAGGGAAACAGAGCTTAATGCAACTTTGTACATTCTTTCGGCATGCAGGCATAAACATGGTAGTCGCAGCACATTTTCTATGGACTAGTGACGTGAGAACCGTGGCAGTTCATTGTATAACACTGTACAGCAGCAATAGGCTTTTTGCTTACTAAAATAAAGTGTAAGACCAGTGGTTTCCATCCCTGCTTTAAGTCCCTAAGTTCTTCTTTCCTTTCCAGCTAAAACAGATGCCATAACCTTAAACAGAACCTTGCTTCGGGGAACCTTTCTCTTTGCAGCATCCAATCCTTTGGTTGCAGCTCATACAAGTAGATCTTTTGGGGCTGACTTTCCTCTGCTGTAACGTAATGCAAGACAATTTACAGTAGCGCAAGCTGGAGGCAAAGCCCTGCCGTTCAGGTTTGCCAGCCACTTGCACCCGTTTTGCTTAGGTGCAGGCGGCTGGCACCGACACGCACATGCACGCAGCCACACGCATACCTGCACAAGCCCCAGGCATGGCTGCATCGTGAGCTGGGCTGCAGGGTTGATCTGGCTGGAAAATAACCCTCTGCCTTTTTACGGACAGGCAGTTTTCCAGCTGGATCAGTCCCACCATCTGGTTCAGTGCATGACTGCACAGACAAGTGCCAGCACAACAGAGGGGAGGGTGCAGGGGTGGACACGGGTGGTAGCTGAGGACGCACAGCCGAAGGCGCCTTGTACCCCTTGCACGGTGTTAGGGGCCTGTGGCGGAGGTGTGGACACAATCTGAACCAGCCTAAGTGCTGTGAAGGATTGACTCCACAAGGCTCAATGGAGAATTGGCTCTGGGTGGCAGCAGGATGGGCAGGAATTCATTAAATGAGGAAAGACTGTAAGATCCAGTGCTTGTAATTGCATACAGGAGGTTGTGATATGTACTGCACTGTGCTACCTTTCCCTGCATATTGATTGAATTGTTAATGAGCAGTTGAGCATTAATACGGCTGCAAGCAAACATAACGCTGTAAATTATGTAGATATATTATTTTCTGTATTCACTAACTCACTTTTTTTTCGGAATGCAATATGCCATTTGGGTGACTTCTACACCAGACTGCAAGTGCTGGACAGCCGGGGGGCCCTTCTGCAGCGCTCACCCCTGCAAAATTCCCACTGAAGCCAGCGAGATTTTGTTCAAACAGGACCTGCAGGACCGGGCGCTCCAGGGGATGCGTGAGGCTTGGTCCTGCAGAGAGCTGAACACTCTTGTCCCCCCTCACTTTGCTGGGAGCCGAATGTGTTGATCCCTGCTGCTGAACTGAAGCATGACCAGGCAGCACTGAGAATAAACTGGAATTTTATACATAGAAAATTTAATTTACATGTGTATTAAATGTGAATGAGCATTAATATAGAATGTATTTTATCAAAAAATATTGCTTACTTTGACCAAATACATTTCTGTATTACCATGTTACTTGTTCCATACTTACCAAACGATGCAAGAGATGCGGAACTGGTTTAGTTGTATTACAAAGTATTTTTGTATTTTATTTGTATTTTATTTTTCCCTCACTCCCACTACATATTGAGGTTAGTAGCCATTCAGTAATTAACCAGGGGTAGCATGACCCAGTGGCTAGGCTGCCAGACTGAGACACAAGATTTGCGAACACGTGCACAAATGCTTGCAAGCCTGGGGACTCAGTGAGAAGATGTGGGTTCAGAGCTCAGCCATTGCCTCGCCCTGAGCTTTGGGTTGATCTCGGCGGCTAGGAATTCAAGGCAGGCCTCCGGTTATGCATCCAGGCCTCCATGAAATTCAGTGGGAGCAGGGTAACTCCTTTGAAAGTTCCCCCTTAAGCCTTTTGTAAAGGGGGCCATTAGTATTATTTGCCCACCAGTGTATGAAGTGCTTTTAGATCTGCGGGTGAAGAGAGGTATGCATTATCATTGCCTATCTGCAAAGCAAACCATTAGTGAAAGGACACAGAAGAGTCTCCCTTTTCCCTCGCCCTTCTTTCATAGGCATTTCATGTTCTAGCTAAATATAAATATACTAGAGCAGAGCCTCTTGCAGAGCTGGCGCTTCTGAATGTGAGTTGCATGAATGCAATGAGCAGAGTGCTGCTTGGGGGATGAGAAATACATGGGATGCCAGAGGGAAGAGCAGATTTCAGAAATGTAACAACTGGTTTGGGTAGCAGGGGCAAGAGTGAGAAAGGCCCCTTTCAGAGAGATGCTGGGATTTCTGAGACAGCCCAAACCATCCTGCCAAGTATCTGCTTATTGAACCTATGCAGTTTATAAAAAAAGCTGCTCTGGATGTTACTGGGGCCTTGAGCTTGGTCATGTTTTTCCATTAGTGTCCTGCCTGATGAATGCATTGAGATGGTTGAGAGAGGAAGGGGTGGAGAAAAGGCAAACTAAAAAGCCTTCTCCTCTCTTCCCCAACATTATTATTTATGATATGGTGTGAGTAGGTAGGAGCAGCAGTCAGGGAGCAGGAAGGTGCACAGTAACATCTCTTAAAAGGACTTGCTCATGAGAGAAAAAATCGGCAGACTGTTTCCTCGCGGAAACGTGGGGAATAGCACACCCCTGAGCACGATGACCTGAACCCTACCAGGCTTCAGCTCCACCTCCTGCCCTGTTCTGAGCTGTTTTCCAGGCAGTTTCTCTCTGTGCATAGTGCTGTGCCTTTGAAAGTCGCATGCTTGTAAGAATGCCACTTTTGATGGGAATAGCCAGAGTTAGTTTTCCTGCATCAGTGACCTGCACGCTAGCTGCCGTGTCTTGGCGCCGTGTCCCGTGTAAAGTGTGCTGTGTGAGATGGTGGCTGGGGGCAGCGGGGAGGAGTTTCTGCAACTCCATTGCTTAGTAGGTAACTGCCCTTTCCCCCTCTGCGAGGTGGGACATGAGACTGTGACAGTAAAAGTGATTGCAATAACTTTATGGATGTTGCTCTGGAAAGCTGCCATACAGAACAGATTCCCAGCCTTTTTCAACATGTGTCCTGATCTTTCACTGAAGTCCATGGCTATTTCACTCAGTCAGCTTTAGCTGCGGCAGGAGGCGAGGTTACCACTTCATCCATCCTTGCCTTGTGTCCGTCCTTACCCTGTGTTCATCCTTCCCTCGTGTCCATCCTTCCCACTCTGTTCTTTTCAGAAATTCCCACTCCCAGAAGAGGGAAAGCAGAGGAAGGGGGAAAGAAACACCTCTTCTCTCCCGCAGCTTGCAGCCAGGTGCATCAGCGAGAGGCACAGTTCAGGGCGGTGTGTGTGTGTTACTGAGTCCCTTCTGCACAGGCAGCACCTTCTCACAGGGGGATGAGGTGGCGTGGGAGATGTGTTATGCCTTGAAGACCCTTGAGTGGTCCATGCCG